TTGATACAACATTTTCGGTGAAATATTATCTTAAAATAAATTGAAAGGTGAGTCGGTGTCCTTCAATTGATACAAATAAAGTTTGTGTTCACAATTTGAAATTTAATGAAAATACACATCTTCTTTTAGTTTTTTTTTTTTTTTAAATGAGCATCTTCTTTCACCTATTAGATCCAAGAAAACAAAATCACTAGCAGTTTCTTACACGATCTTTTTAGAAACCAGAATCCGAGGATTTACTTCTAAGTTGGTTTTGGAGTTGTCATGATTCTTGTCTCCACTCTTTGTTTAAGTAGATATTTGGCTCTATTTTCTTCATGAAAGGTTCTCTTTTTCTCTTTTTTCTCTCCTTTAAAAGTATTATAGAAAATTATTTTGTTAATTATTGGAATAATAATCTAATTAGCCCATAAATATAATAAAGACATGTAAGACCAAATACAAAGAAGTGTATGCACACTCAAATGAACTAAAAAAATAATAAAAGTGCAATATTTATAAAATACTTCTAAAGAGTTTATAAATACTTCTACACTCCTCAAAAGTAAAAGATTTTTTTTTTTGGAGTATTTCTCTCTTTGTTGTACTTCTTATCTCTTTAAAAAAAGCTTTAAAATATTGTTAATTTGAACATCACAGCATCTACCTAAAAGACAACCCTCAAGTTTGTTTCGGAGGTCCCTTGTTGGTCAACTTATGGTCAACTAGAGCTCATGAACCTGTCCAAACACTAACCATATTGTGAAATATTAGGAGATGCATTAATTAATTGTGATTGATTTGGGTTATTATGGCGGGTTGGTTTAAGATTTTTCATCAACCCGGTACTTTGTACGCAGTTTTCTCACAAAATAATAAGAGATCGTAGAAATTCAATCTTTTTTTGTCAATTAAAGTATTAAAAATTATAGTAAAAAACTTAAAATTTTCTTAATAAATCAACACACAATAAAAATTCATTAAAATTATTTGAATAATTTTAAAGTAGTCTTGATTTTTACTTTATTCAAATAATAAAATATTATAAGAGTGTTTGGTAGGGTTTTATAAACAACTATCAACTATTTATTTTAACATTTTGAATTATAAATAATAACAACTATGAATCATTCACATATTGGTTTTCAATTATATCTAAATAACTAATATGAATGCCCCATATGTCCCTCTTCTACATTTCCCCCCTTTTTTGCATTTCCTGCTTTAGTTTTCTCTACGTGCATAAACATAATAACTAATTACATTATTAAAGAATAATCCATATAAAACTTAAAAAGTTGTAATTCAGTTGGTAAAAAAAGTTTACTTTCCACTTTATTATCTAAAATTTAAATATTTGGAGGGCCAATTGTCAATGAAAAGATTAATTTTTCATAAATTCCCTAATTTCGGCTTGGATAACTTGACTTTAACTAAAACAACAAGAAATTAGTCTTTTAAGTACTTGTAAGTTAACTTAAAGACACCATGACCAATAACCCAAAAAAAAAAAAAAATCCAATCAAGTTACAATAATAATTTATTTACTGTATTAATTTAGTCAATGCACTTAGGGTTAAATAGTAATTGAAAAGAATGATAATTTGAATTTTAAACTTTAGACCGTGATATAAAACATTTTAGGACCAGAGTAATATCGTTGTGTTGCTTGTTTTCTATTTTTGTTACCAAAAGTTAAGATTACAAAATTAAAATTAAAAAAATTAATAACTGAAAAAA